GCTTTGTTCAGCCGGATAATCTCCACATGTCTACCCTACTTTTATAATTTTCTAATCATAAATCTAATGGCCAGAAGCAAAATGCTAACGTTATGCTATAAAGGAACTACAGCCGAGTACAGCAGCACGACTTCAACGTCACGCCAACTTCAGATCCATACTCAAACATACAGATTCTAAATGGTACGAGTTGAAGCGTTTGTTTGAACAGTCTGCAGGAGGCAGGTACTTGCTTTCAAGCAGAACAGGGCAAACTAACTTAGAGGAGTGTTTACGTGTTCGGCGTAATGACGTACAACGTCCTCGACAACTTCTGTAGTCCTATTCAGCCACTTGGTAACAACCATCGTTTTTCAGACACGTCAACTCTTCAGAAATCACCAGTGGGGTCACTGCTGATGGATTTAATGTCCTAGAACAAAACGTGATCCGTCTCTTCAATGTGTCTCAACCACAGACCTTATTTACAGCTATTTTCCAATATCCTATGGAGAGATCCCATTGGCTCTGAGACCAGGGAACAGGAAGTGGTGAAATGCTGACTCACTTCCTGGTTTTAGGACTCATTCCTGCACCACTCTATAGGGCAGCCAGATGATTTGGATCCAGTTCAGTGCTGAACACCTGGGATAAAGTTTGAAAGATCTCCGTCCAGTACATATGAATGAGAGAGGCTTTAGCATTTTATTTAAATAAAGAAGATTCATTGTGTTAATTGTTCAAAGGAGACAGGCTGCATGTTTGCTAATCTAATAGATCCAAGCTAAAGACATTAAAGTCTCATTTTATCCTCGGAAAGTTCACAAAAAAAGCTTCCTAAACTTTTATTCTGACAATCACAAATGTGGAGAATCTCCTGACTGGTTTCACATCCACAGTTTGAACCAAAGTCTACAGATATCTCAGCGTTCATGTAGCCGAGAACACTTTTTCTTTTATAAAGGTTTGTTGGTTTTGACACGTGAAAAAGTAGAGTATTGCTCCATATGTTGTCTCCAGTACTGAGCAAGACCACTCTCTATTCCAGTAAGTCTTCACAGGCTCTGCAGCATTTAGAAGTGACGCTGCACAGATCAGTGCTGCAGAGTTACAGCGACGAAGAGGAGGAGGAAGAGGAGGAGGAAGAGGGGAGATTAGAATAAGAGAGGCAGGGAGAGGACGGATGAGATGAAGGTAGGCGATGAAAAATATGAGGAGAAATGAAGTAGAAATGGAAAGTCTGGGTCTGACCTTGCTTCAGTCTATGTTCAACTTTTGAGGCTGAGGTGGAAGCGTCAGCCAATCAAATCCCGTGTACGCAAATCTGACAGTTCAAGCTCTAGCCAATCAAACGGCGTGTATGCTGGGAGAGACATACCGCAGGTCATTTCCTCATATTCCAAAAAATGGAGGAGAAATTAGCGGTAGCGAATCAATCACCCGGTGCTTTATGACCAGACCTACCGGGATATAAACCGGAGGAGCCAGGCATGGAGGGAGGTGGCAGAGACAGTGGTATGTTTTCGCCTGTTTTGGGGAGTTTATATCCAGTTTACTTCGGGCTTTTTTGCTTCGTATGTCGCGGGCGGGAGATTCATGTGATTGGTTGCTCGCAAAAAATCCTCAAGCTTCAGATACGCCCACCTCCAAGATTTTTTTAACGCTGCTGTGTAGACGTACCGTTAGAACTGACTGAGCATGTCAGTTGGAGTGATGACATCATCGTGTTTATAGTTGAGCTAACGAGCTGCCTAGCGATCAAAGGTTTCATTGTTCTGAATGAGAGATAAACCTCTTACTTGTGAACGTTTTGTCAAAGAACCGTAACAGATATCTGTGAAATTTCAAAACGTGAAGCATGTCAAGGATGTTGAGTATCTGAAGTGTAATTTTTGTGTACTTTCGGGTTAATAATGTGGCCTTTTTGGCAGTTTAAGAAAGGTGTGCGGCTGATGCTGTGAGGAAATATCTGCCTGAAATTACAATGGGCTTTAATGGAGACATGTTGAACGTTTTTGTCTCTTCATGCCCTCAAGAGGCATTTTGATTAATATTTCTTCTTAATTGTTTTTAATTTTCCAACCTAGGAGAGGTTTTCCTACGTTTTTCATGAAAAAATATGTCTGAGGAGTGTAGGGTTTGGGAAATATGGCAAGTTTAAAACATTTTTTGGGGAGCACTGCTGCACTCTGTTTTGAGATCAAAGCACTCTAGACTTAACGAGCTGCTCCATCCACACTAATGTTAAAATCTGAAGAAAGCCTCTTTACCAAGCTCCAAACAAAGTTAATTATCTCAAGAAGTGTAAAAGATATGAAGAATCTGAATAACAATTTTTTCCGCTGAAGGTGTTGTGATCATTTGAAAGTTGGAATGAAGTGTCTAGCTGAAATTATGTGGAAGGGGAAGCATTTGGCGCAAAGTGTAGGAAAAGAGGATTTGAAGGCATCTCCCATTGACTTCAATGTTAAAAAAAAGAGTTTAAAAAGCTGAATATTTCAAAAAGTATAAAATATTTTTAAAAAGTTGAAGGTTTCCCATCGATTCCTGCACAGGCTGAATAGTTTGATATTTGAATGGTTTCTGTAGCTGAAAGTAAGCTGCAGTTATGGAGAGCCAAAGTATTGGTGAAATAAGGGGAAGAATAAAGAATTGAAGTACTATAGTGGAATGCTGTAAACAGCATTCGCACTAATAACAGATCCTTTTACAGAGTGTGGAATAAATTAAAAAAGGTCCCCAGGCTTCCTGAAATGTCCTGTTTGAGTATAGAAATGAATATCTGATCTTTTCCAGTGTCATGCAGGACATTACATCCGTCAACCAGCTAGCAGGAGAGCAAAGGACAGAGATGGACGTTCTGCAGTTAAATGCATCTCCTTTCCTCTGACCCCAAATAGAGCGGTGCAGTGATGACGTATTTTTGTAGTTCGACCCGGAAGTAAGCTGCTGGTTCCCTCGACAAAAAGCAACAGGATTTCTCCATAGGATTTTGGAATATTGTAAAAAATAAGGTCTGTGGAAAACGAACCTGTTTGATAAATGCACGCTTTGTTCAGCCGGATAATCTCCACACGTCTACCCTACTTTTATAATTTTCTAATCATAAATCTAATGGCCAGAAGCAAAATGCTAACGTTATGCTATAAAGGAACTACAGCCGAGTCCAGCAGCACGACTTCAACGTCACGCCAACTTAAGATCCATACTCAAACATACAGATTCTAAATGGTACGAGTTGAAGCGTTTGTTTGAACAGTCTGCAGGAGGCAGGTACTTGCTTTCAAGCAGAACAGGGCAAACTAACTTAGAGGAGTGTTTACGTGTTCGGCGTAATGACGTACAACGGCCTCGACAACTTCTGTAGTCCTATTCAGCCACTTGGTAACAACCATCGTTTTTCAGACACGTCAACTCTTCAGAAATCACCAGTGGGGTCACTGCTGATGGATTTAATGTCCTAGAACAAAACGTGATCCGTCTCTTCAATGTGTCTCAACCACAGACCTTATTTACAGCTATTTTCCAATATCCTATGGAGAGATCCCATTGGCTCTGAGACCAGGGAACAGGAAGTGGTGAAATGCTGACTCACTTCCTGGTTTTAGGACTCATTCCTGCACCACTCTATAGGGCAGCCAGATGATTTGGATCCAGTTCAGTGCTGAACACCTGGGATAAAGTTTGAAAGATCTCCGTCCAGTACATATGAATGAGAGAGGCTTTAGCATTTTATTTAAATAAAGAAGATTCATTGTGTTAATTGTTCAAAGGAGACAGGCTGCATGTTTGCTAATCTAATAGATCCAAGCTAAAGACATTAAAGTCTCATTTTATCCTCGGAAAGTTCACAAAAAAAGCTTCCTAAACTTTTATTCTGACAATCACAAATGTGGAGAATCTCCTGACTGGTTTCACATCCACAGTTTGAACCAAAGTCTACAGATATCTCAGCGTTCATGTAGCCGAGAACACTTTTTCTTTTATAAAGGTTTGTTGGTTTTGACACGTGAAAAAGTAGAGTATTGCTCCATATGTTGTCTCCAGTACTGAGCAAGACCACTCTCTATTCCAGTAAGTCTTCACAGGCTCTGCAGCATTTAGAAGTGACGCTGCACAGATCAGTGCTGCAGAGTTACAGCGAGGAAGAGGAGGAGGAAGAGGGGGAGGAAGAGGGGAGATTAGAATAAGAGAGGCAGGGAGAGGACGGATGAGATGAAGGTAGGCGATGAAAAATATGAGGAGAAATGAAGTAGAAATGGAAAGTCTGGGTCTGACCTTGCTTCAGTCTCTGAGGAAAAATACAAATGTTTGGTTGAACTGTCCCTTTAAAGACATCATCATCAGCTGGTCCCCCTTGAGGTGTCAGTTGGAAATTATTCCTCAAAATCATGACTTTTTAAGAATAAAACTGAAATTGATTTTTATTTCTCAACATTTTGACTTTTTCAGTAAAATCCTCAAAATTCCAACTTTTTCAGATAAATTCAGAAATATCTATTTTTGTCAAAATATTGACTTTTTCTGAAAAATTCAGAAAAATTGAGACTTTTTCCAAAAAAAATCGGACTTTTTCAAAAAAAAATCGGACTTTTTTCTCCTATCCACTATTCCTTAACCCTGTGACGTTTCACACAGAGGTCAAGGAATATACGATAGGAGCTGATTTTTGGACTATTCGACTGCAGCCACGCTGTTTACAAACAGTTCCTTCCTGCAAACATCCACTGATAAAATGCCATGTTAACAACCTCATGGTAACCTCATATTTTGTTTTAACTTAGGATCATCATCGTACCTGTATTTACTCTAGAAAAAGGTAAATGTGTGCATTTTATTAAAAAGTTGTGTATATTTACAGACTGTTGCAAAAACTAAGGAGCTTATAAACATCAGGTTTAAAACTAAAAGGGAATTGGGCCATACTTCCACAAGTGGTGATAGGATGACATGGTGATACACACTTTAATACAGTAGGTGGCGGTATGCGCCTTAAAGTTGTTTTGCAATCTACCCATTACTGAGAGAAGAAGAAGGAGAACCATTCAGTTTCAACATGGCGTCCAAGTACTACCAGGAGATGCAGGAGAGCTTCAGGAACAACAACAAGAGCCGAGAGTTCCCGGCTCACACCGCTAAAGTCCACTCTGTGGCCTGGAGCTGCGACGGGAGGAGACTCGCTTCCGGATCCTTCGATAAAACTGCCAGCGTTTTCATCCTGGAGAAGGACCGGCTGGTGAGTCGAGGAGCTAACATGCTAACGTGCTAACATGCTAACGTTAGCATCTGTCTGTGAATGTTTCAACTTTCAAGGCTTTTATTGTCATGTGTGCATGGCTACAGTGTGGTTATGACAATGAACATCTTAGGTCACAGGCTCCTCCAACAGAGCAACACAATAAAACAGATAAAATAGTGCAGGTAAATACAATAAAATATAATATAATAGAAACCGTGCAGAATAGTCTATATACAGTAATTGGAATATGAGTTGCAAACAGATGAATGTTATGGATGTTCTTTCCAAAGTGCAGGTGAGAATCACAATCAAGTTTAAACTTCTAATTTAGGGTAGTAAATCCAAACATGCCTATGTCACAGCCTTGTTGATTCTTCCCTGTGTATTGGAGCAAATACATTTGATATGCTACCCAAATATGGCCAGGATCGGATGCATTTTCGGGATATTGGGTTGCAGATTATAATTTTCCAAAGGGGGGTTCGTTTAACACTTGCAATAACTAAAGGACAAGTTTTAAAAAGAAAGTAGAAAGAAAGTGAGGTCAAAGAAAACTTTCTGCTAAAAGTGAGCAATGATTGAGAGTCAGAGCTAAACATTTCAGATGTGTGTATCTCACACGGCACTGTACCTTTAATTCATGTTCCTTTGTTATTCATGTTTTATTATCTTTGATTTTAAATGAGTGTTTTTAAATGCCATTTCATAATATGTTTCTTAATATCTTACATTTTTGTAACGCACTTTGAATGGCCTTGTTTTGAAAAGTGCTGTATCTGGGGTGTCCAAACTACATTTTGAATCGGCCCTCAGCAAATTAAAAAAGTAAAATGGAATACGGCCCACAAATGAAACTTGTGCTTGTCTTATATTGTACTTCTTAAATATATCCGTAAACATATATTACACAGTAGTATTCACGTGTTAATAAGACCACTTTCAGTCAATTCAAGAAAATATATTCTAACATATCTAAGTTGATAAGAAAAAAGCCCAATGAGTTATTTACATAACAAGCTTGAAAAACCTATTTCTCCTTATTATAATCACTCTGAAGCTTCTGTTTTAAGGGATGAGCTGCTAACACTCACAAGCATCATTTACCTACATTTGATTGATTTTGTTAACTTATAACTGAACTTGTGAGGCGATATACCTCTAGTGAGGGGCCCAGCCCTTCTTTATGTGGCCCTCGGTGAAAAAAGTTTGGACACCCCTGGCGTACAGAAATGTATGAATTTGTGTTGAATTAGAGTGTGTCTCTGTCCTCAGGTGAAGGAGAATAACTACCGAGGCCACGGGGACAGCGTGGATCAGCTCTGCTGGCATCCAACCAACCCCGACCTGTTCGTCACCGCCTCCGGAGACAAGACCATCCGCATCTGGGACGTCCGCACCACCAAATGCATCGCCACCGTCAACACTAAAGGTGGGACCAGAGATCCTTTTAAAGGGGACCTATCATGCAAAATCCACTTTGTCTCTTCTTCATCACCATGTGTCCCCTCTTCTTCACGTCTCTTCTACATCAACATGTGTCCCCTCTTCTTCATGTCTCTTCTACATCAACATGTGTCCCCTCTTCTTCATGTCTCTTCTACATCAACATGTGTCCCCTCTTCTTCATGTCTCTTCTACATCAACATGTGTCCCCTCTTCTTCATGTCTCTTCTACATCAACATGTGTCCCCTCTTCTTCATGTCTCTTCTTCATCAACATGTGTCCCCTCTTCTTCATGTCTCTTCTACATCAACATGTGTCCCCTCTTCTTCATGTCTCTTCTACATCAACATGTGTCCCCTCTTCTTCATGTCTCTCCTACATCAACATGTGTCCCCTCTTCTTCATGTCTCTTCTTCATCAGCATGTGTCCCCTCTTCTTCATGTCTCTTCTACATCAACATGTGTCCCCTCTTCTTCATGTCTCTTCTACATCAACATGTGTCCCCTCTTCTTCATGTCTCTTCTACATCAACATGTGTCCCCTCTTCTTCATCTCTCTTCTTCATCAACATGTGTCCCCTCTGTGGAAAGAGACTCTGAAAGTTTCAGGAACAAAGATTCTCTCTCTTTTTGATCCATTTCTATAAAAACCTGTCTGAAAATGAGCTGATCAGATTTTGGCCACTTTATGATGTCATAACGATGTTTTGTCTTGTGTAACCGTTAGCCAATCAGCAACCAAAGTAACCCCCACCCACCTTATCACCTGAATCTCCTCCTAGAACACCATTGTGTTCTTTGTAACCAAATCTCTCTCAGAGGGGCGTGGGGAGGGGCTCCTTATTTTCATCTAAAGTAACAGACAGAGAATCAGCACTTTGGAAACAGGGCTGAAACAGAGGGGATTATGGGTAATGCTGCAATGATCTGTTTGGTGTTTCAGCCAATCAGAGACAGGCTCTGTATATATCTGAGACCTGTGATATATTGATGACAAACAGTATAATAGGGGACCTTTAAAAATTCTCATATATTGTTTTGGTCTGCTCTTCAGGAGAGAACATCAACATCTGCTGGAGCCCAGACGGTCAGACGATCGCTGTGGGGAACAAAGACGACGTGGTGACGTTCATCGACGCCAAAACGCACCGCTCCAGAGCCGAGGAGCAGTTCAAGTTCGAGGTGAACGAAATCTCCTGGAGCAACGACAACGACATGTTCTTCCTCACCAACGGCAACGGCTGCATCAACGTCCTCAGGTAGGAGAAGTGCATTTAGGATTCTCCACAAACAACCTCTGTATAGAGTGGTGCAGGAACGAGTCCTTAAACCTTCCCAACGGTCTTTTGAACTAGTGTTTGGAAACTATCTGTAAATAAGGTCTGTGGTTGAGACACATTGAAGAGACGGATCACGTTTTGTTCTACGACATTAAATCCATCAGCAGTGACCCCACTGGTGATTTCTGAAGAGTTGACGTGTCTGAAAAACGATGGTTGTGACCAAGTGGCTGAATAGGACAACAGAAGTTGTCGAGGACGTTGTATGTAAGAAATGTTGTCATTGTGTAAATCTCCAGAAGCAACGACATGTTCTTCCTCGGCAACGGCTGCATCATTTTTTATATATTTATATTTTGCCCCATCTCTTCAAAACATCGCAGTGGGAAAACCCGGCCAGGTAAATGGAGCCTTTTCTTTCAGGGCTGATGGGAAATCCACAATTTATCTTATTAACCTGTAACCTTTTAAAAGGCACATTTATGGCGCGTTTCCACTACAGCGCGGAGCCCGGTTTAAGAGGGCTGTGACGTCAGCGGCCCGTCTTTGGTTGCGTTTCCACTTGGCCTAGTACCGGCCGGCGGGTCCTAATTCACAGTTTTTCTGGCCTCATAAAATCGTGGGTCTAGGGCCAGAGACAACGAGGCTGAGTCGGGCTGAGTATGCTAAACTAGAGAGCATCGCTGGCAAGGGGGCTACAACTACAACAAGATGGACATATTTGACCGTGATTTAATTGTAATACACGTTTCAAAATGATGCCGAAGTAACAACATACTGATACCGGTTAGTAAAAACCATGAATTAATGCTTTGACAAGTCTGCAGACAGACGGCAGGGGAAAAACCTTTTAAAATGCGTGTTTTCTAAATGGAGATTGGCTAAGCTAACGCAGTATATGCTCCGACCGTCCACACTCACAACGGCCTATACAGACATAAATAAAGCAGCGACTGTATTCACCATGACACAGGCAGTCTGTGGTTTGTACTTGTTTAACTTTTGTCTAGTTTCTGAACAGATATGAGGAGCTGTGAGCTCTGAGTGCTAACAGCTAACGGCTGTGTTGTTTTTCTGGGGTTCTCATTGAAGATGACGTCACGGCTCCGCCTACACTGCGTTACTATAGATACTGCCCCAGTTCCTAACTGTAATGGAAATGCGCCATAAAGTGAGCCAGTCCTAACGAGGCCTAGCCATACCGAGCGAGGCCGAGCGAGGCCGTGTAGTGGAAACGCGCCATTAGGTACCTTTGTTTGAGTTGAAACAAACTCCAAACTCACCTCCTGTCACTGCTCCTGGTACTAGGATGGGTAAGAAGCAGAGAACAAATGTCACTGTGCATGGACATGTGACCATTAAAGAGGGTTTCATCCTCCAATTATATTCTCTTCTGTCTATCTGTCCAGATTCTTTAGATAATTGCACCTTGTGTGCGCAGTGTGTGGTTTTCTGTTCTGAATAAAAGTGACTATTTAAATGCTTCAGAGCTTAATTTGTGTGTTTGCGTGCAGTTATCCGGAGCTGAAGCCCATCCAGTCCATCAACGCTCACCCGTCAAACTGCATCTGCATCAAGTTCGACCCCACGGGGAAATACTTCGCCACAGGAAGTGCCGACGCGCTCGTCAGCCTGTGGAACGTGGAGGAGCTCGTGTGCGTGCGCTGTTTCTCAAGGTCAGTGCTTTAATCGGGATTGAGGAGGAAATTCCACACAAACAAAAACAACCTGTTTGGAAAGAAATGAACAAGTAATGGAAGTTTAAAGCCGTTTGTTACCAATGGCCTTTTGTCTGGTCTAAGGAAGTATTAGACTTCAAAACGTGGGAACATAGAAACCTGAGAATGAAGTTACAGTAATACTTTTACTTAAATGAGACTTCATGATTCATTTCTACAACAGGGTTTATGATACATAATATGATAATTACATTTGAAGTTTGCTCGTACTACTTTAAAGCAGATGTTTGTCTCTGGCGTGAAGAAGTGGAATTCTTTGCCGAATGGTTAAAAGGGCTGTAAGACATTTTTTATGTTTAAGAAAATGTATAAAGTCAGTGTAAATGTTTTGTTTTAAAATAACTGCCATGTGTGGATTAAACTAATAAATAAATAAATAAATAAATAACCCAACAAAACATTTAAAAACCAGCTTTTGTTGTTTCTGTTTACCTTTCTTTGGACGATTATTTATAAAAGGTGTATACTATGGTTAATAACTCCAGGAAGGTCAAATAAGCAAGAGAATACATTGTTAAAATAATCTGAAAAACAACCCATTTAGTAAAAGTAAGTACGGAAGAGGATTAGGGACACATGGAAAAAGTCTGATATTTTTTCAACAAAAAATAAATAAATAAATAAATAATAGAAAAAGTAAATGGATAAATTGAAAAAGTAATAGAATTAGAAATAATAATAGTAAATTAATAAAACATAAAAAATAAAGACTAATATGACACATCATAGTAAATACATATAATAATACAAATAAAAAGCATTACAATAATACAAAGACCAATACAATAAAAACAATTAAAAAAAATTAGTAGTTTTTCAGTTTGCTTTTTATTATGTATTCATTTCAAGGACCATGCATACAAATACATTAATCTCAGGAAAGAGAAGAGATGAATTATGCCAGATTTGAGCTAATAGCTGATTTCCATCTGCAGTCCTTTGCAGATGGAAATCAGTAGTACTTTATTTAATTTGCACTTATCTTTCTGAATATATCCTTATTATCGACTGATGGATGTGTTTTCGTTGCAGGCTGGACTGGCCGGTGAGGACTCTGAGTTTCAGCCACGATGGGAAGATGTTGGCGTCAGCCTCCGAGGATCACTTCATTGACATCTGTGAGGTGGAAACAGGTCAGAAAGACACTCTTTATCTGATGCATCTGAGACTTCAAAGGTCACCTCTTATGCAACATCCACTTCTTCATGTCTCTTCTTCATCAACATGTGTCCCCTCTTCTTCATGTCTCTTCTTCATCAACATGTGTCGTCTCTTCTTCATGTCTCTTCTACATCAACATGTGTCCCCTCTTCTTCATGTCTCTTCTTCATCAACATGTGTCCCCTCTTCTTCATGTCTCTTCTTCATCAACATGTGTCCCCTCTTCTTCATGTCTCTTCTACATCAACATGTGTCCCCTCTTCTTCATCAACATGTGTCCCCTCTTCTTCATGTCTCTTCTACATCAACATGTGTCCCCTCTTCTTCATCAACATGTGTCCCCTCTTCTTCATGTCTCTTCTACATCAACATGTGTCCCCTCTTCTTCATGTCTCTTCTTCATCAACATGTGTCCCCTCTTCTTCATGTCTCTTCTTCATCATGTGTCCCCTCTTCTTCATGTCTCTTCTACATCAACATGTGTCCCCTCTTCTTCATGTCTCTTCTACATCAACATGTGTCCCCTCTTCTTCATGTCTCTTCTTCATCAACATGTGTCCCCTCTTCTTCATGTCTCTTCTTCATCAACATGTGTCCCCTCTTCTTCATGTCTCTTCTACATCAACATGTGTCCCCCTCTTCTTCATGTCTCTTCTTCATCAACATGTGTCCCCTCTTCTTCATCTCTCTTCTACATCAACATGTGTCCCCTCTTCTTCATGTCTCTTCTTCATCAACATGTGTCCCCTCTTCTTCATCTCTCTTCTACATCAACATGTGTCCCCTCTTCTTCATGTCTCTTCTTCATCAACATGTGTCCCCTCTTCTTCATGTCTCCTCTTCATCAACATGTGTCCCCTCTTCTTCATGTCTCTTCTTCATCAACATGTGTCCCCTCTTCTTCATCTCTCTTCTACATCAACATGTGTCCCCTCTTCTTCATGTCTCTTCTTCATCAACATGTGTCCCCTCTTCTTCATCTCTCTTCTACATCAACATGTGTCCCCTCTTCTTCATGTCTCTTCTTCATCAACATGTGTCCCCTCTTCTTCACGTCTCTTCTACATCAACATGTGTCCCCTCTTCTTCATGTCTCTTCTACATCAACATGTGTCCCCTCTTCTTCATGTCTCTTCTACATCAACATGTGTCCCCTCTTCTTCATGTCTCTTCTACATCAACATGTGTCCCCTCTTCTTCATGTCTCTTCTACATCAACATGTGTCCCCTCTCTTTCATGTCTCTTCTTCATCAACATGTGTCCCCTCTTCTTCATGTCTCTTCTACATCAACATGTGTCCCCTCTTCTTCATGTCTCTTCTACATCAACATGTGTCCCCTCTTCTTCATGTCTCTTCTACATCACATGTGTCCCCTCTTCTTCATGTCTCTTCTACATCAACATGTGTCCCCTCTTCTTCATGTCTCTTCTACATCAACATGTGTCGTCTCTTCTTCATGTCTCTTCTACATCAACATGTGTCCCCTCTTCTTCATGTCTCTTCTTCATCAACATGTGTCCCCTCTTCTTCATGTCTCTTCTTCATCAACATGTGTCCCCTCTTCTTCACGTCTCTTCTTCATCAACATGTGTCCCCTCTGTGGAAAGAGACTCTGAAAGTTTCAGGAACAAAGATTCTCTCTCTTTTTGTCCTGATCCATTTCTATAAAAACCTGTCTGAAAATGAGCTGATCAGATTTTGGCCACTTTGTGATGTCATAACGATGTGTTGTCTTGTGTAACCATTAGCCAATCACCAACCAAGGTAACCCCCCCCCCCCCCCCCCCCCCCCCCACCTTATCACCTGAATCTCCTCCTAGAGCACCATTGAGTTCTTTGTAACCAAATCTCTCTCAGAGGGGCATGGGGAGGGGCTCCTTATTTTCATCTAAAGTAACAGACAGAGAATCAGCACTTTGGAAACAGGGCTGAAACAGAGGGGATTATGGGTAATGCTGCAATGATCTGTTTGGTGTTTCAGCCAATCAGAGACAGGCTCTGGATATATCTGAGACCTGTGATATATTGATGAAGAACAGGATAATAGGGGATCTTTAAAGTAGTACGTGCAAACTGGTGCCTACAATTACATTTCCTCCTGTGATGCTCATCCTCTGAAATGCTGTGTGCAGGAGAGAAGCTGTGGGAGGTGCAGTGTGACTCCCCCACCTTCACCGTGGCGTGGCACCCCAAGAGGCCGCTGCTCGCCTACGCCTGCGACGACAAGGAGGGAAAATACGACAGCAACCGAGAGGCCGGCACCGTCAAACTGTTCGGCCTGCCCAACGACTCCTGAGACCACCAGCTCACACTCTACTGGTTACACTGGTTTCTGAAATTATTTAAGAAACAGTTACGCTCGTCCACCAGCAGATGGCGCCGCTGTCACTACTTTCACTGTTTTTATACACGGATAAAACCACAACTCCCAGCTCTGTAATATATTGTTTTTTTTTATGTGAAATATACATTTTTTTTGATAATAAAAAGGTGTCTTTGTAAATAATGTTTGTCCTGTTTCCACTGGTGGTGTTAGTTCAAATTAATGTCTTGATTGAAATCTGTTTAAATCTGAAGTATACAATTAAATAACATTATTTATGAATCATTGCTAAATAATCTCAAAAATGCAATAAATACAAAATATAACTATAAAAACACACTATATCTAAATAGTAAGTACAATTTGCAAGAAAACAGAGAAACGGAAATGAGCTGATACCTGATTTTTTTTTATTACGATCTGCATTAAAATGATTTTATTTACATTTCAACACAATTCAATTCAAAGGGCTCCACAAAAGGCATTAAAATGCAACAGAAACACATTATAAAAATACATTTAACAACATGTATTTAAAGAGAATACAATTAAAATAAACACTACTTCCTCCTTGTCTTAAGTTAGCATTTGATCATATTTAAAAAAAAAAATTTTAATTGAATATAGGAGAAAAACTACAAAATACAATGAATCAACAGCAATAAAACTAATATTAACAATACCATAACAAAAACAACTTTATCCAAATCCAACCGACACAAAATCGAAATAGTAAGATACATTTGAAACTAAATTAAATAAAAAAGTAAAAATATTTATGTTAAAACATTGTGTTAAAGGTAGGGTAGGTAAGAATGGAGAAACCAGCTCGAGTGCGCTAGAATTTGAAAATACGCAGCCGAAAGAAATCTGCCCCTTCCGTCAGACTTCCTCACAGAGCCCCTCCTCCAACACACACGAACGCGCACATGACCATTGAGGGCACGAGATAAATTTGTGCACAGATGGAAGGCTGACAGGCAGGTAGGCCATCCAGTTATTTTAGCCGGGCCGGCTCAGATGATTGGTCGTACTTTTTACAGTACTACGGCTTCCACAGATGATATTTTTTTATGTATTTATTGTCAAAGCATTTCATGTATTCATTGCTATCAGGATGTTAAGAGCATTCCATGGAATATAACAAAAAGTGTTTCTGAAGTGAATTACCTACCCCACCTTTAAGTGACTGAAATAAAAAACTAAAGTCCACCAGCAGAGGGAGCAGCTGTTCTAACTTTCCTTTAAATCAGCTGACTTCATCCCCAGTTTCTTTACACGGATAATAAACATCTCCAAGTTCTGTAATATATCGTTTTTGTAAAATATGCCGTTTTTTTTTCTATTTAAATGTTCAGTTTGTAAATATTTTTCTGATTGCTGAATTTCGTCGATTGTTTTTGGTCCAAAGAATTCAGTTTAATTCTGATGTAGAAAATGAAATGAGATGATACCTGATCCCCAATAGCCACTACCTCTTCCTTAGATCCAAATAACCATTAAATCATTGTATGAAATGTAAAACAATGAAACTTATTATAACAACATTACAAGCTTCTATATCCAAATAGTAAGATCAATTTGAACCAGCTAAACATGTTTGGTTCAAACAGTTTATAGTGACGGAAATCAAATTAAAAAAACAAGAAAGTTCCTCGATGAGTGAAATGTTGGATGATCAATCACACACACAAAAGTTGAAGTATGAATGCTTGTTGTTTGTATGTTGTCTTCTCCTGAATGTTGTACGTCTCTTGTTTGTGTTTCTGTATTCTTGATGGCACCTTAAAAAAGGAGTAGCTCTACTCATCTCATTGTACCTAATGACAATAAAGGATTCTATTCTATTATATTCACATATTACAGTTTATTGCTCTAACATCAATGAAAGTAGTCCAAGGTTCGTGCATTAATATGTATTCTTCCTAACGTATTGCCTTCAGGCAGAGCTGTAGGCGACAGAGTCTGAAGAGGAAACATTTAATTACTCTGGACCTTGAACCATTGCTGCCAGCGTTGGCGTGTGTATCGGATATGAAAAAGGAAGTAAACACACACACAGTTACCCAACATGCATGCACACATCGCTCCCACACGTTAGCCCCCAGAAACTCTGCCTCTGCACACGAGCCAAAAAACAGATAGATGTCATAGAAACAGGGAGAAAACAATTTTAGTCCATTTTTTGTTTGTTTATTTGCTTCAGAGGGCTTCTGTATGATATGATGACTTATTTGGTATTTTACTCGGCATGCTGCCAAAGAGTTGTTCAGGAATGACTCCCTTTTGGTTAGAAGCCTGAAAATAAGCCTGAAGATAGCCGCCTTTAGCTTAGCGGTGGTGGCGTGAAGTCATGTGACCGTGCTGTAGTTCCTTTATAGCCCAACATTAGCCACCTTTAGCTTAGCGGTGGTGGCGTGAAGTCATGTGACCGTGCTGTAGTTCCTTTATAGCCCAACATTAGCCGCCTTTAGCTTAGCGGTGGTGACGTGAAGTCATGTGACCGTGCTGTAGTTCCTTTATAGCCCAACATTAGCCACCTTTAGCTTAGCGGTGGTGACGTGAAGTCATGTGACCGTGCTGTAGTTCCTTTATAGCCCAACATTAGCCTCCTTTAGCTTAGCGGTGGTGGCGTGAAGTCATGTGACCGTGCTGTAGTTCCTTTATAGCCCAACATTAGCCACCTTTAGCTTAGCGGTGGTGGCGTGAAGTCATGTGACCGTGCTGTAGTTCCTTTATAGCCCAACATTAGCCACCTTTAGCTTAGCGGTGGTGGCGTGAAGTCATGTGACCGTGCTGTAGTTCCTTTATAGCCCAACATTAGCCACCTTTAGCTTAGCGGTGGTGGCGTGAAGTCATGTGACCGTGCTGTAGTTCCTTTATAGCCCAACATTAGCCACCTTTAGCTTAGCTGTGGTGACGTGAAGTCATGTGACCGTGCTGTAGTTCCTTTATAGCCCAACATTAGCCACCTTTAGCTTAGCGGTGGTGGCGTGAAGTCATGTGACCGTGCTGTAGTTCCTTTATAGCCCAACATTAGCCACCTTTAGCTTAGCGGTGGTGGCGTGAAGTCATGTGACCGTGCTGTAGTTCCTTTATAGCCCAACATTAGCCGCCTTTAGCTTAGCGGTGGTGACGTGAAGTCATGTGACCGTGCTGTAGTTCCTTTATAGCCCAACATTAGCCACCTTTAGCTTAGCGGTGGTGACGTGAAGTCATGTGACCGTGCTGTAGTTCCTTTATAGCCCAACGTTAGCCGCCTTTAGCTTAGCGGTGGTGACGTGAAGTCATGTGACCGTGCTGTAGTTCCTTTATAGCCCAACATTAGCCACCTTTAGCTTAGCGGTGGTGACGTGAAGTCATGTGACCGTACTGTAGTTCCTTTATAGCCCAACGTTAGCCGCCTTTAGCTTAGCGGTGGTGAGGTGAAGTCATGTGACCGTGCTGTAGTTCCTTTATAGCCCAACATTAGCCACCTTTAGCTTAGCGGTGGTGACGTGAAGTCATGTGACGGTGCTCTAGTTCCTTTAAAGCCCAACATTAGCCACCTCTAGCTTAGCGGTGGTGACGTGAAGTCATGTGACCGTGCTGTAGTTCCTTTAAAGCCCAACATTAGCCACCTCTAGCTTAGCGGTGGTGACGTGAAGTCATGTGACCGTGCTGTAGTTCCTTAATAGCCCAACATTAGCCACCTTTAGCTTAGCGGTGGTGACGTGAAGTCATGTGACCGTGCTGTAGTTCCTTTATAGCCCAACATTAGCCACCTTTAGCTTAGCGGTGGTGACGTGAAGTCATGTGACCGTACTGTAGTTCCTTTATAGCCCAACGTTAGCCGCCTTTAGCTTAGCGGTGGTGAGGTGAAGTCATGTGACCGTGCTGTAGTTCCTTTATAGCCCAACATTAGCCACCTTTAGCTTAGCGGTGGTGACGTGAAGTCATGTGACGGTGCTGTAGTTCCTTTAAAGCCCAACATTAGCCACCTCTAGCTTAGCGGTGGTGACGTGAAGTCATGTGACCGTGCTGTAGTTCCTTAATAGCCTAACGTTAGCTTTTATAAAGTGGTGTTAATATGTGGAGGTTATCCTGCTGAACAAAACGTGCAGGTGTGTAAGTATCATAAACGTTTGTTTACCACATTGTGCAATATACCGAAATCCAATGGAAAATCAAAATGGAAAAATAGTCTCTTTGTGAGGGAGCCCTTGTGATGCTCACTTATGGGTCGGCCTACAAAAACACTTCATCTGCCAAACTGGACTGGACACAAAATACGTGTGTGTGTGTGTGTTTTTGTCTGTGTGTTTGTTTTGGAATAATTTCGGAGCCATCATGCAAATCTTTGGAGTCGAGCACCTGGCATTGGGTTTAGCTTTGTGTCCCGGTGAAGCTGGATGGCCCTCGAGCATTTCATCTGATCCCATCTGTTATTTATTGTGGCTGATACATTGTGAAGAGGTCGGTCAATATCCACGGATGTGATTGCCAGCGAGCATCTTGGGATAATAAATCAAATGTAGCTGCCTGCAGGGTCTCCTTCATCTGCCGGAGCAGGAAGCTCTGTCTGATTTGACTTTTAATGGTCTGATCTACATGGAGAAACCTCACCACTGCACTTAGCCCTCGACGATAAATCACCGCTGCTTTGGCATTTTCATGTTGGACAACATCACATACAAATGGTGGGTCAAGTAAGTCAAATTACAACCTTTAATCTTGTGTAATATTGAGCTTTTTACTCCACTACAATGATCTGACATGGTTACTTGTGGCTACTTTTTAATGCTGAGTTTATTAATAAGCAGAGGAGAGCAGACTGTTGCTAAGGAATCTGATTAAGAGACTACAGTCTGTGAAGTCGTATCACAACGCAGAAAGAAGTCTAGTCAATTTAACTTTTAGTGTTTACTTCCTGTCTGTCTTCTTCTGTTGTTCCCTTTAATGTTTACTTCCTGTCTGTCTTCTTCGGCTGTTCCCTTTAGTGTTTACTTCCATCTTCTTCTGCTGTTCCCTTTAGTGTTTACTTCCTGTCCCTTTAGTGTTTACTTCCTGTCTGTCTTCTTCTGCTGTTCCCTTTAGTGTTTACTTCCTGTCTGTCCACCATTAGTCTCTTTGGCGTTCTCAGCAACAGTCTGTTAGCTAAAAAGAGCAGAGCGTAGAATGTTTGAAATTGACCAATCGGCATC